CACACGCGCGGGCAGCGGGCCGCGGGCCGCGGTCGGTCGGTGGGGCTTGATCTCTTGGGGCGGGGCGTGGCGGCGCCCGTGGCACACATATGCGCACGGGGCGCTCACGTGAGCGAAAGAGAGAGAGAGAGAGAGAGAGAGAGAGAGAGAGAGAGAGAGAGAGAGAGAGAGAGAGAGAGAGAGGCGGGCACACTACACTCCGGTTATCCGGCCGAAACCCAATCTACCGCCCGAGCCAAAGGCCAAAGGCACCGCCAAAAAGCTCCACTCTCCGCACAACCTTGATGACGGCGGGGCAGGTCGGCCACCCCGGACCACAGGCAGGCCCTGGGCCGTGCGCCGTGAGCCCACGCAACTTTCTTCATTTGTGTTTGTCGCCCGTGTTTTTCTTTCGAGCCACGCACCCATAAACCACTATAGGCCCACCTTTGCGACCACTCACACACACTCACACGTTCCAAAACTCACACTATCGCAAACACGCACACACTCTCTCTATCCACCCAAAACACACACACACACTCTTCCCCCAAAACACACACACACACTGCTTCTGCTCTCCCCCTACTCTCTCTCTCTCTCTCTCTCTCTCTCTCTCTCTCTCTCTCTCTCTCTCTCTCTCTCTCTCTCTCTCTCTCTCCAGGCAGGTGATGGGCTGCCCGTCAAAGGCGTTGAACCACAATAAGGGCGGTAAAACGAGGCGGCGCGAAATTGGCGGCCGGAAGGAAACTTGCCGCGCGAAGGGAATTCGCGGCGAGAACGCTCCGTCTCTCTCGCACTCGCGGGGAGCGCCGCTGTGCCGCTCGGGTGCGACAGAGACGGAGCGACGACGACTTTTGCGCCGCGGCAGCCAAAGGGCCCGACCCGACGCCTCGCCGCGGTCGAGTCGCACTAGTGCAAGCCGCGCCACTGCTAGCCGCGCCACTGCTAGCCGCGCCACTGCTAGCAGTCTTCCGGCCAATCCCGCGGGGCGCCACCAGAGGACCAGATTAGAAAACGACAACTTTTCTCATATCCGCGTGCAGCGGCGCGGTTTTAGCGACGATTCAAACCGGTGAAATTGTTTCGGGTCATTCAGCGCGGGGGAGGAGGGGAGGGGAGGGGAGGGGATGGCGTAGGCAGTACAGCCCAACTTGCGCGCGGCGGCGGCGTCTCGAGGGGCCGCCCCGCCCCGCCCCGCCCCCGCGGTGCTCAAGGCGTGACCCGAGTAGGCTCGTTGCTTTGAAGGGTCACGGGGAGATGTTGTGCTGGCGGGGCGGGGCGTGGCGGGGCGTGGCAGGGCGGTACAGATTAGTGTCATTACACTTGTTGAGTGCAGAGTCGCGGCGAGGTGTTCCTTACAGTGAGGGCACCGCCCTCCCGCCGGTCCAGCCCTTCGAAACCCTTGGACTTTTCCTCACCGCCCGCACGCGCATCTTACAAACGCGTTTCTTAAACCGACAAAACTGTCCTTTGCAGAAAGGGGAATCCACTCGATGAATGTTGGTTCAAGGAACGCCTTTTCAGACGCTGCCCCCCCCTCCCCGAGAAGAAGTCTGGAGTAGGTTACGGAGGGGGAGCGCGGGGGCGGAGCGAAAGGGGTGGGGGAGGCCGCGGAGACCAAACAAGTGAGCGGCAAGCAACCGTCTAGGGGATAGTGGCTTTGAGGTCTCAATCAACAAGGCCTATACCTTAGTCACGGTTGGTCGGCCGTGTTCCGAGCCAACGGCGGCGGCACACTGTGGGGAACCGCGCTCCGGACCGCTCACGTGAAACGATCCCTTTCGAGTTGATTCCAGAAAAAGTCCCTGATAACATCAAATGTTAGTTTGAATCGAACCAGATTCTTTAGTTCAGCAAAACAGTGTCAAGTCGAGAATATAATTTCCTTCCTTACCTAGAACTTTTATTTTTGTGTCTGAAGAAATTTTAAGGGTGTGTCCACTCTACCGGAAGTTAAACCTCCAGAGCCACCCCACCCCACTTTCAAGCTGATTCAAAAGCTGTGCGCTGCTTTCCCTTCAAAGAGCGAAAGTGCAGGCGGCCCCTCACAGTTCCAGGTCGCGGCGCCACCGCCTTCCTGTTGCGTTCAGCGCCGACGCTGCCCGGCTTTTGAATGTTTTTTCTTCCTTTTCCATCTCGGCACAACGTGTGCCGTAATGCGCGATCCCAGCCCAGCGTGTGTTACGCGGCACAGGTGACACGCAGCGAAAAGGATCTGACTCGCTGGGGGGAAACAAAAATAAAAAGCAGAGAGAGAGGGGGAGAGAGAGAGAGAGAGAGAGAGAGAGAGAGAGAGAGAGAGAGAGAGAGAGAGAGAGAGAGAGAGAGAGAGAGAGAGAGAGAGAGAGCGGGGCAAGAATAATGGTGTGCCCGCCGGTTCGGCACCGGATGGTGGGAACGCAGCCAGGTGGCCCTGTCGGTGTCCTGTCGGTGTCCTGTCAGGGTCCGAGCCAGGGATGTCAAGACGGCGCTCCGCCCCGCCCGGTTTAGCGCGGCTAAAAAGAAGCTGAAAGTGGAGGGGGAGGGCGCCTGGGAGGTAGGCAAAGCGCGCGCGGCGCTGCGTGGCGGCCAGCCCGCCCTCTCCATCACAGGCGTTGGCGTGGTGCTATTGCCGCGCCGCTTGCGCCTCCAATTGGGCAAAATTAACAGGATTCCGTCCGGGGCACTGTGAAACGCTTCGCGAAGTGTGTCAGCGAGCATGTGCGAGGCAGAGACTAAGTTACCGTGTTATTCGTGCTGGTTCCCCGTACGGAAAACACGAGCGAGACTCCCGTGGTTGACAAAGGTCCAGGTGAATAATAGACCAGACATGTGCCGCGTCCCCTCTCTGCCCTTTTTTTTTCCTAACAGTGTCACCGCGAGGGCCGGGCGCGAATACCCATCTTTGGCGTCGTTGTTTTAGCATCCCCGGCCGACAGAGAAAAGCACTCCCTGCAAATACAATTTCACAGCAGCCGCCGCCGCCGGGTCTCCCCCCACCATTCGACTTGCCGCGCGCGCTCCGCCGCCCAGCGGGCTGGCAGTCGCTCCATCGTTCCGTCCCTGTCGCACTCGCGGCCGCGCCCGGGAGGGTGCGAGAGAGACAGGGCGCCGCCTTGTTTTAACAACTCGCACTCGACGAGGCCGTCAAGGAGAGCGAGGAGTGGCCGGACCGCCTGGAGGTGCGCGAGGTAGGCTGCCGGGACGGCCTGCCTACGCCACCACAGCGGAACCAAACATTTCCACGCGGATTTGTCATTATTTTTTCGGACAGTGTATCAGTCGTGCTCGGGGAACCGTCCGCGCTGGCCCTAAAATTCCGGCCAAGTTTATTTCTAAATTACCGGCGCCGGGTGGAGGGGGGGGGGGGGAGGGGCGTCGCCGCTAACGGGGAGACGGCGAGAAGTACACGGCGACGAGGAGACGAGGAAGCGGGCTATACGCACGTAGGCGCATCGCAAGGTGGGATCTGAGGTGAGGGCCCGCTGCGTGGCGGGGCGGGGCGCGGCGGGGCGGGGCGGGGTGGGGCACGGACCTGGCGCCGCGCCAAGGAGGGTGGAATGTAAAATGTAACGGTGCAGTCGCCCCTTTTCAGGATCGCTGGTTGTAACGTGCCAATTCGCACGCTGAAATGGGCCCGGGCTGCGGGCAGGGTGTGGCGGGGCGTGGCGGGGCGTGGCGGGGCGTGGCGGCCCAGCAATTATTCCGGGCAAGGATTAATATGGGCGCGCTAAATTTAACTGATCCCCAATGTATCCCTCCATCCGTGCCAAGCCACTCCGTTATGATGGTGATGAAATCCGCGTTCCACGGCCCGTCTGTCTGTCTGTCTGCCTGTCTGTCTGTCTGTCTGTCTGTCTGTCTGTCTGTCTGTCTGTCTGTCTGTCTGTCTGTCTGTCTGTCCGCCTGCAGTCCGAGTGTCTGTGTCTGACTTTCTTTCTGTCGCCTGCAGCCACGTCTGTGCTGTTTGGCGGACCCCCGCCGCGTCTGTTTGCCTGTCAGTGTGTCTGTCCGCTCGCCTCCGGTCAGGTTGGCAGGCAGCCGGGCAGGCGCCGGGATTCGGCCCCCCACTCCAGAAAAGTTCCGGTTAGGTTATTCTCCTGTAAGAAGGCAGCTTAACTCCCACACTGCAGGCCGCTCCCTGCCCCCCGGCGCCATCCCCGCGTTCGCCTGACGCCCGTCTTCTTCACCTTCGCAAACTTTTCGCTCAGAGAGAGAGAGAGAGAGAGAGAGAGAGAGAGAGAGAGAGAGAGAGAGAGAGAGAGAGAGAGAGAGAGAGAGAGAGAGAGAGAGAGACGCTGATAGGCGATACGACGAGTGGTGTGGGAGTTTGGACAACCTGTGGTGGCGACCCTGATTGCCGTAATACTCGAATGAGTGGTTCGCCAAAAGTTGTGCGTTCGTTTTCCGAGCCCGGATAATCGGGCCCGCCTGTTAGGGTGGCCACCCTGATTCCAAGACCGCCAGGTAGGGTGGCCACCCTGGCTGCAAGTCCGCCAGGTAGGGTGGCCACCCTGGCTGCAAGACCGCGAGGTAGGGTGGCCACCCTGATTCGCGGAGCGAGTTTGCGACACCGCTATCCAAACTTTTCTCGGCAAGGATTAGGAAATTAATGAAGCGGGGAGCCGAGAGCGGAGCAGGTGGTCGGCGACGCACGGCGCGCACGGTGCAGGAGGCGCAAGGTCGCTCAAGGTCGAGCCGGGCCGAGCGCACTGGGGCACGAAAGCCACTCGGGCGCTCCGAATCGGGCCGGCTTTGCAGCGCTCTTCAAACAAGAGTTAAACCAGCGCAAAGAATTTTTTACAGCGCAGCTGTGTTGAAAAGGGACGCCTAAAAGGCAACACCTCCAGAGCAGCCCACAAGTTCTGAGGTTGGCAACAGTTTCGGCGCTGGTGCATCGTGTGCCTTTGGCGACCACCGAAACCTACTGCCACCAGACCACAGGCAATCTAGCGGCCTGGCCGTGTCCTCCGAAACCCCTGGCCTGCCGTCTGGCTCGCCTCGTACTGCTTCGCGCCTGAAAGGAACTGACCACTCACCGTTCTGTTGCCCAGATTCTTGACCCGGCAGTTGAGGTAGGCCGTCTTGCCGACGAGTCCGGTCACGTTGGCCGGCACGGCGGTGTCGAAGAAGGGCTTCTCGGCCACGGGCACGCCCTCCAGGACGATGCGGTGGCGGCCCGGGTCTGCGGAACAATCAAATTACATCACCAAACTTTCCAATCCACAACTTTCTCAAAAGTCCCTTTTTTCCCTCCTCAAGATTTCCGCCGGCTGGGAAGGAAGGAGGTGGCAAGGCTTGTCTGGCCGTGGACGCAGTGACCAATTTGTGGAACCGGAGAGGGAGCTTTCGCAAAACGACGAAAACATAAGCCAAATTTTATTCCTTTGGTAAATCACAAAAAATAATGACTGGTTCGGATCAAAGAAGTCCTGCTACAGTAACGTTCGTCGCAGGTCGCACCCCAAATCGCACACTGTCACCAAATTGCCTTGATTGAAATCAATGATAATATGTTGTAGAGAAAACAAAAGCTAAAACTTGGCTGAACCAATTTATCATAGTTGTCCTTTTTCCTGGTTTATCCTTTTCCTCTTTGAGAGGGACGGTCGTGGGAGGAGGGCTCCGTAATGCGTTACGTGTTTCGTGGACGGGGTCGTGGTTCCGACATGCACGGAATGGAGATTGCGCAAAAGGCGTCCCGGACCGCAGTGCCGTGCCAGTGCCCTGCCAGTGCCTTGCCTGCGTTGCCAAATTAAACCGCGGTGCAGAACGCGTTACCGCGGGACGGCGGTTGCCCCGACAAATTAGCCCCTTCCTCGCCTTTCCTGTTAAGGTGTTCCACAGGGAAGGCGTTCCTCGGGGCGTTCCTCGGGGCGTTCCTCGGGGCGTTCCTCGGGGCGTTTCTTGGGGCGTTCCGTCGTAGAGTGTAACGAGGCGCGCTCCGATGGAGCTCCTGTGTTCCTCGGGGCATATTTTCAGCAGGCGTTCCTCGGGCGTTCCTGCGGGCGTTCTCGAGGCGTTCCTGCGGGCGTTCCTCGGGCGTGCTCGGCACAGAAATGATGAACCCCGCGACGCGCCACTCATTAGGCGGGCCTTCTAATTAGATTTCGAGTTGCTCACACAAATAAGTTTCTAAGTTGCCACCACGAGCGCAGCCACTTGCGTGCGTCCATATGGGACGCGTCGCGGTGTCCCCCTCCCCCCCTCCCCAACTGCACAAGCACAACACCGCCTCATTACTCGACAAAACAATAACAATTAGACCGCCAAGGCCGCGGCAACATGTCCCGCTTTCATTCAAGGTCGTTATAAAAGTTTTTTTCCCCGGCATTTCCGGCCGCCCCTTTTGTCGGGAAACGGTGGACCGAAAATTGGCGACGCAGGAGCTGGCCCAAAGCACTCCACAGTTCCCGCGCACAAGCAGTGGGCCGGGGACCGACAGAGAACGCCCGCGGGGACCCGGGGCGTCTTCTTCAAGTGGCGTGTGCTTTAGACTTGCCTTTCTCGACTTCTCACTCACTCACAAGCACACACACGCGCGCGCGCACACAGACACACACGCTGTCTCACTTTCACTGACCCCCGCCCCCCGCCAACTGATGCCTCCCTCTTCCCCACCCCCAACATCCGTCTGTCCATCTGTGACATCAGACGGGCGGCAATTATTGCTGTTTCCCCTCTCGCCGTGTGTGTATGTATGTGTGTGTGTGGGGGGGGGAGAGGGCTTCCGTGTCTGGCCGCGGCAGAATGTGTGACAGGCACACTGGAACGGCGACGCCACGCCTGCCCGGCCCAGGCCGGCTGGTCACGTGTCAAAGGGCAAAAAAAAGAAGGGTTTCATTCTTTTAACGAAATTTGTGGAAATGGAACAACGAAGAATTTTCTTGTAATGGGGACAAAAATACCTTTGGGATTAAACGGAACGACTAAGATTTTTGTCGGAGGCAAAGAGTGCATCGTGGAGGTTTCTGATCAAAATTTAAACTCTATATGAGGCGCGCACCACCATCCTTCACTCAGTAACCAACAGAATAATATCTTGACTTTATTTTTAGAAACAGGAAAATGTACGGCACAGCCATTTTCGAGGTCGGGCAAACAAGTGTCCCCTGGTCTGGAAAATAAAAGGGGGCACAAAGCGAGGGTCGCGTCCAATCGCGGCGTGTGGCTGGTCGGCCGAAGAGCTCGATGCTGATTGGTCGACCGGCAAGCCGTGCGTGTCGCCAAATGACGGCACTGTGTTATCTTTCCGCTGGAAAACAGCCTGAAAAGACTGTCGAGGCATTGAGTATAGGTAATCGGGAGAGTGATTACGGAAAGAGTGCGCGCACACACACACACACACCGGGGTATTCATGGTCGACTCTTACAGGGAGGCCCCACTCGTAGAATGTTTTAACACACGGAGTTTCGTAAGCGAGCAAGTACAGTACACGGAAAAAAAAACACAGTTTTATAGTAGCTGTTTGTCACGTCAACATGGAAGTCATGAATCTTACACCGTCACGTTTCCGGGCGGTGTTTCTCTAAGGAGGGAAACTGGGCCAATAAGCCACCTGGTCGACACTGCGTCGGGATTATCCCCCCCCTCCTCTTTTACTTTTGCCCTTCTCCCCCGAGCAGCGCTGTCTCCGGGGCCTCTGGGGTCTGCGACAGTAATTTCGGTAAACGGTCGCGTGGAAACTTCTAATCTGGAAATGGATGTTCAGCAACTCCCGGGAGGTCCAAAGTACAAAACGAAATCAACATCAATGCGGTCGGCGGCGCGCTCGGCGCTCGGCGACGCGGGCACCTCGCCGTCCACGCCACTGCACCGACTTCCGCGCGCTCCGCAGTCGGGATGTATCAGTGGCGACCCCAACCGGGAGTCTGGAGGGAAAAAAATCTGTCTTTTCGCGGCGAGGTCGCGGACTTGTGGGCGACTCGCAAAACGCCGTTCGCTGCGTACTGGGGGAACGGAGATCGTCGTCTTGCTCTCGGAAGCTCCTCGGCCGCGCCGCGACGGAGGCCTCTAGGCTGGCCAAGGCCTGCTGGGCGGCGCTGGGCGGCCCTGGGGCGGATTCCGTGGTCAAGGCCCGTGATGGGCGAGTCTTGTCGCCTCGGGCGGGCACGTCCCGGCCGCCGTTACCCGCCCCGCCCCCCCCCGCCCCCGCCCCCGCCCCCGCCCCCGCCCCCGCCCCCGCCCCGCCCCGCCCCCGCCCCCGCCCCCGCCGGGCCAGACGTGCCGTCAAACAATGCGGCCTTCATCCTGCGCGTAAACAGCGGCACATGCTCACCGGAGTTGCCGTCCTTGTCGTGCTGGCTGGAGTCCGGGATCGTGTTGGACCCTGCAACGGGAAACCACAGCAGTCAATCATTTCGCCCAAAAGAAAACACACACACATGCAAACAGAGGGGGCGAAAAAAACAAAAAACAGGCCGTCGGAATCAATGGAACGGCCTACTCCACCGCCTTGTAAACCAGCCGGGCCGTTATCCAGGGGGCGGTGAATGGGCCCGTCCCAAAGGGGCACGCCATGGCAAGCCGCGGCAGTGCAAGGCCCGTGAAAGGAAGACAAGACACCGTTTCAAAGGATGGCCCAGAGGGCGGGAGCCCCAAAATTTTGTCCGGGTCGGCTTCCCCTAATTTTTAGCTGCGCCCCGCCGGCACGGCGGCGCTGAGCTGACGGGCAGGCGAACCCCTCCCCCACACCATAAAACCTCGCCCGGGCCTCTCGAGGGGGAGGGGGGGGGGAAGGGCGAGAGAAAGATAGGAATATGGAAGGCGGGAACGAAGGGCTAAGACGCGGTAAGCGAGGTCACTCCGGCATTTATTCAGCTCCAGAGGGCCGCTTCTTGCTCCTCTAACCCTTCACACACACACAAGCACACACACACACACACGCACACACACGAGACGTGGCATAAGAAGAAAGATGTCTGACGGGGGGAGGGGGTCCTAAAGGGAGCGCGGCGGCACCAGCGCTCCGCCTATAGCTTCATCTCCCTTCCCGACCCGGTTGATGCCCTTGGCTGCCTCGCTCGCTGCTGCGCGTCGTACTCGTGTGTGTGTGTGTGTGTGTGTGCGCGTGTGTGTGTGTGTGTGTGTGTGTGCGTGTGTGTGCGTGTGTGTGCGTGTGTGTGCGCGTGTGCGTGCGTGCTGGCGCGTCCGCGTGCGAGAGAGTGTTGTGCTGTGTTTGTATGAGGTTGGCGGTCGAAAGGGAAAGGCTTTGGTGGGGGGAGTGGGCGTGTTCCACATGAGCGGAGACCCTCTCATGCGTGCTCAAGAGTGTCTCCGCCGTGCTGCCCCATACTGGTGGCCCTAAACAAGAGGCATCGTCACCTTCGCGGCCTTGCTGTGCCTGACTCCACGAGCCAACCGACCCGCAGGTGACCAGGTCAAGCACCAGGTGCAAGGCTGCCCCCTCCAGTGTATCGAGCAAGCCCTCACGGAGCGCACATGCAGCACCCGGAAGTGGATCACTTTGAACCAACGCGCTGACTGTTTTAAAATCATTTTTAAAATCATTTTATTCAATTAAAGTATTATTGTTTTTGATTCGGCCCGGCCCAACATTCATCCCTTTTCCCGCAGCCTTTCTAGCAGAGGGCCGAGTCTGGTGGACGTGCGGCATGTGTGGAAAGCTGCGGGAAAGCTCCACGCGGCCTCCACCCGCTCTCCTGCTTTTCGAGTTTGTTTCTTCTTTTCTGTCGCCTCTCCATTTATTACACTGGGAGCTGTTGCGGCTTACACTCGCCGGAGCATCCGGCAGAGATCACATTCATTACAGTAATTGACAAAAGGAAACAATTACTCCGACGCAGGATGGAGGCGAGGCAGTCCGCAGCGAAATGAAACAAACAGCCCCCAGCGATTCGTGATCGCCGGGAAGAAGTAAATCACAAGACAAACGCGACATTAGACAAAGTTTGTCCGGGCCAAGGCCGCGCCCTGCGCATCCAGATAACAAGTCCCTTTTCGGTGCCCGCGGCTGTCACTCACAAAAGGTACGAAACAAAACATTAACTGAGTTTCCGCCCGTTGCAGATTTTAATGAAAAATGGAATTGTGTGTCGACCGTCAGGCGCGTGATTAACTAGTTTTTGTTTTTTTAATGTCCCCGACGGTGAGGCTGGCCAGGACGGCTAGGCAACAACAGCGGCCCGTAAGGACTAAAGGGCTCTCGACGGCCGCGGAGGTCTGCGGAGAAATGCACTCGGGGATAAACGCGGACTAATGCGCCGCCCATTTAGCGCTAAGAGCTCCTGAAAAAATGGAAAACCGCCGCACGGACCAGCGTGGCCGCGCGGGTAGAGGTGTTCGTTTCACAAACCCGTGGGTGTGGGTTCGAATCCCGTGCCTGGATACATATTTTTTTAAAATTCTCAATTACTAAAAATGAAAATAACACTCGATTTAAAAACATGTCACATCGATGAAATCAACACGATTTTTAGAATGGTATTGCTTTTCATTCAAACGTTGAAAAATAGCACGAGAAATTCAAAAACTTCCTTCCTCTGGTTGCGGGTCGCAAAACTTCCGACTTCGCTTGAAGGCTTTTCGGGCGCCAGGTAATTATGAGGCGCGGGGTGGAAAGGAGGCGTCCTGGCGGAGCGCTCCACGGCGGCGTTCCTCAATGGCGTTCCAGGAAGGCGTTCCAAGGAGGCGTTCCAAGGAGGCGTTCCAAGGAGGCGTCCCAAGGAGGCGTTCTGAAAAGGCGCTCCCCACCGACAGGCCGGCGACGCAAGTCACATCAAGACGGCACGGCGTTGCATTCCAGACAGGCACTGGCGCCAAAGGAGCAGGCCTAGCGCTGCCGGTGTCTGCCTGGCGGTGGCTGTGCCTGCGGCCCATTCTTCCAAATCTAATCCCAAGTTTAAACTGCTAACTTATGCATGCGTGGCGGTGGCAGGCCTGCGCTGCCCGCGCGCGCCGCCGCTCATGCACGTGTTCTGCCAACGTGACGTCTCAGGCGTGCCAACGTCGCGCCGCTAATTCGAAAAGCCGCACGCCGAATTTGCATTGGACGAATTAGCGCAGCAGCCAGTCCTGAATGGCTTCATTGGCCCAGCGCACGCGCACACCTACACACGCACACACACATATACACACCACGCACACACACAGTGGCTGGTGTGTCCCGGCGGCTGTAAAAGAGTCGTCTGCTGCCCACATATGTTCACTCGTGCGCTTGTGTAGCTGTGCGAATGAGAGAGGTTTTAGATGTCAAGTTTATGAAAGGCTTTATTTGTGGTGGGGGGGGGGGGGGAATTTCATTACAATTATGAGGGCTCCAGGGGATGGGTCAGATCTTGTCACAAATTGTGTATCCAGAGTTATTTGATTTTCAAAAGCGTTGATATTTTTGGTGCAATGTGCAAAATTTGGGGATTTTAGATAACGTGACAGTAGTAGGGTTTTGCTTGGGTGTCACACTAAAACACACATAGCTGTTTTCACGTTGAAATGTTTGTGTGTGTTGAGGAGAGAGAGAGAGAGAGAGAGAGAGAGAGAGAGAGAGAGAGAGAGAGAGAGAGACATCTCCTTGCGCCTTTTTGGCCGCTGTCGCGTTTCAGAGAGACGCGCGTGGCTTTATGGCACGGCGACAGCAAACACACCCCCTTTGCGTGCATGCACGCGCGCGCGCACACACACCGCACACTCCAGGGGCCAGATCAGCCGGCGTCCCAACATGGCCGTCTCGGGTAACGGGGTAACAGCCTTCGTCCCGCCGGTACCGTTGGATCGTCTGCCGCGAGCTTGCTGCTGAGGCTGTTGGGCCCCCTGGCCCCGTCCGCGACGCACACACGTCGCATCCGTCTCTTCGACGCGAGTCAACAAACAGGGCCATGATGCGGGCCGGTTTGGCGCGGGATGAAAATGCCGTCTGGTGCCTCGCCCGCTCCTCCGCCTGCCCCGGCCTGGTCACTGGGGGACACTAGACGACATACGCCGTACTACTGGATGCGCGCGCGATTTCGCAGCGCGGCAAGGGGAAGGGGAGGCCGTTCACCCCGGCTCGGTTCGACGGGCCCACTGTGAGTAGGCAAAAAGTTCCGGCAGACAACTACCACACACACACACAACACACACACACGCGCGGGCCCCCCACACACATATGCGGCGCGCATTTAGGGGACCAGAAAACCCTCCCAGGAACCACTACTCTCCTCTCCACCGCGTTTTTCTGAAGGCACTCCCAACGTACTCAGCGTATTATAAGCCAAACAAACAAACATTTTTACGAGGGCCCTTTCAAAAATTTTTTTGGCTTTGAAGGGAAAGGCAAAAAAATTTTTTTAACGCGAAAGAATTGGGCGTGGGGGTTTCAGGGGCCCTTTTTTGGGGCCTATGCGGGGGGCCGCTCCTTTGGCCTGGGCAGCGTTCAGCCCAGAGGGTGCCCGGGTGGGGGCCAAAGGGGTGGGGCGGCCCGCTCTAGGGCGTTTTGGGGTAAAAAGCCAGGAAATCCCGAGCGTTACCCACCAAAGGTTGCTCTTAACCGGGTTTTATTGGGGGGGCACTTTTGGTTGAAGCCGTTTCCCCCCGAGCTAAAAGGTCAAGGGTTTTTTCCCCCCCTCTTCCCCCCCGTGCGTGCCCAAGGGGGGACCGGACAGGACCAAACAGGAAGCGGACCCGGGGACCGGCGCCTCCTCCGGGGGTCCCCGGGGCCACGGCCCCTGGTTCAAATCCCACCAAAGCCATAGCGGTTAGTTTCGGGGAAGCGTTCGCGCTCTCGAGCTAAACGGTAACTGGCGCATGGCGTACGATCCAAATGAGGCTAAAATTAAAAAAAAAATTGGATGCTTCTTTTACCGCTTTTGCATCCGTGCCGCTTGTGATAAAATTTTAAAAATTTATTGAAAGAAGTGGTTGTAACCTATGAGCGCGGCGTGCCTGGTTCCGTGGCGCGGGGCGGTGGGGAGTGGTGGGGGAAGCAGCGGGTCGCCGTGTGGCCACGCACCTCGAACGCTCTACAGAGCGTTCTGGCTGTACCCAACACTCACATTGCACTCTGCAGAGCGCTTCGATGCGCTCAATAGGGCTTTTGGAGCTGGAGACGCGGTGCGTGGAAGCACTCTACAAACACCCGACAACGCTCTGTAGAGTGCTCCGTAAAACGCTCGAAGTGATCACAATTTCACCCTGCGAACACTCTGTAGGGCGATCTTAGAGCGTAAACGGTGTCTTTAACACGCCTTTTGAACGCTTTTGGCAACGACTCCAAACGCTCTAATCTTGTTACGATTTTCGCCAGGGATAAGCCAAACAAACACCAACATCATTTACGAAAAAAAAGCACGTTTCAAATTAAATTTTGTTTATACACCTAGAAGCAAAAATGGC